TAGTTTCCTTTCTGGATCAAGCGTTAGCCGGTGTGACCGTCGAAAGCCGTACTACTTCACCAACTCGGGATTTCTACTATGCAGGTCTCCTGCCCGTAGATCCTATCAAGATTTATTCGTGTAACGTTACGTCTCGCCAAACGCCTCGTCACAAAACAAAAACTATTTTATCATTATATAAATTCTATAGTGGTAAGATATTTTTGTTCCCTATGTGTTTGTACAGACAATATAAATTTAGTATGATTATTTATTTATTTGAATAATTTAGTTAACTTATTTAATTTTCTGATTCTGATTCATCAAGTTTATCTTGATTATTTTGCAGGTCTCTAATACTTTGCAAGATCTCTCACAATTGATTACGATTTTTTTGCTGTAAGCCATGATACTTAGAGTGATCTGAAATATTAATAGAAAGTAGCGGTGAATTTATAGTTGCCAAAAGTTCTCCTTTTGACATACTTTCTTCATTCGTAGCTGCCTCTTTCTCTTGTGCGGTAATAGGTATTGGCTGTGGTAAAGAGCTCAGTTTTTTATTTATGAAAGTCTCATTAATGAATGTTATTCATCTTTCACATGCCAAGTAGCTAAATTTTTTAATTGTTTACTAAGTAAATGCTCTTCTTCGAGACTCTCAAATCTGCGATTACTTTGAGGATCTAAAAATCTAGTTTTTCTTAACTGAATTCTAAATCACTATGATTCTAAAGTATAATCAGGATATGTTCGACCTCCTGAAGATTCACTTTCCATGTACCTGATCATATCAAATAATATATGGCGCAGCTAATATATTATTGGGTAGCACTTATTTTACAGACACTCAACTCACAGACATGCTACTTCACAGACAATCAATTCACTGACAAGTTTATTTCATAGACAACCAATTCCTAGACAAGCTTATTTTATAGACAATTTATTTCATAGACAACTTATTTTACAGATATTATTTTTATTAGATTAGAGTTAGAGTTAGAGAAGTTTATAGGAATAAACTTGTCTATGAAGTGAGCTATCTATTAAATAAGTTGTCTACGAAATAAGCTTGTCTAGAAATTAGTTGTCTATGAAATAAGCTTGTCAGTAAATTGATTGTCTGTGAAGTGGCATATCTGTGAGTTGAGTGTCTGTAAAATAATACGAACTCTTATTTATTATACAGTTATAAGTACGTTTGTATAATATCTTTATTTTTAATGTTTTTCAAATATAATTCACTAACCTTTATAAAATTTGTACAATTCCGAGCTGCTTTATTTCAATGTCGCTGTGTGGATATAGGTAGAATTAAGGCCTTTAAATATTTATTAATTTCTTCAAGGATAGCATCAAGGCCTTGATGTTGATTACAATAGCTTGATCGTGAAATAATAGAGTATAATTCTACTATCTTTCTGATTTCAGAATATAATCGTAATAATTGTTCCTCATAATCAATCTCAATATAATGATATATAGGATGTCTACAACCTGATCAAATTGGAACAAATATACGTCTTGCAGCATTTCTTAATAATGATCTGTTATTTCTGACTCCTATATGAAAGTTAACTATCGCCTGGAAATAGACAAACGTCTACAAAATTATTTAATGATTTTTTAAATTATTTTTATAATTTGAAATTTTAAATTATTTTGATATTTGAATTAAAGTATTACCTACTCATATTTTAATTTATAAATACTATCATTTTGTTTTTTTACCCAATCTAAGTAGCCGTTGACTGTAGGGTTTGTAATTTCTACCACATATGGCCATAACAATTCACATGCCATAGCATGCCTGTAAATATTGCAAATAGAATCTTATGATTTATGATGGTCTGTACATTTTTTGAAAAACTTAAGCTGATTTTCTGTTCTATATCTTTAACAAATAGCAAATTGTTTGATATCGATAAGCCTAAATGAAAATATTTAAATTAAATGATGTAAAAAAAAAAAAAAAAAAAAACCAATTTATCAATTTAATTCCACAAATGCTTTAAGCATGTTCATTTTCTCGTGTAGAGCTCCAGGAATTAGAACTAACCAGGGAAAATCTTTTTTGATTTTTTGAGCAAAATTATAAGGAACTCCATCACAAACAACTAGTAACCATTTTCGTCCATCTTTGTTTATGTTTGTGATGTTGTATATATGTTCTAAAATTTTTTTAATATTATTTATTGAATTAGGATTTAGTCCTAATAGGTCTAGCACATACATTTCTAGAACAATAACATTTTGATCAGGTTCAAGTTTTTGTGTAATACTAATGCATTCAAAAGGTGAAATATTTTGCTCGTGAATAAGAGGATTAGATTTTATTATAATAGGTTTTAATTAGGAAGTTGTATTACTAGCTTGAATAAACTCATTATTTGATTCCGCTTGTAATGTAGCTAACATATCTAATTTTTCATTACATTTAGAGCAAATATGTTTTCTATTATCAATATTGGTTGTATTGCACTTCTTGCACCATTTTGATTGACTAGCAACACCTTTAGATTTTTTATTATTTGGTCAATTAAATTTTGTTTATTTTTTTTTCATTAATGAGTTCGTTTAAAATTGACAACAAATATGTATTTAATTCTGATTCACATTCTGCTTTCATCTCTGATGTAGGATAATATAGCTCTTTATATTGAAAGTCATTTAATGAATCATAACATCAGGGATCTATTACAAATTGAATCTGATTTTTTTTATCTATATTAAGTGCAATAAAACTTGTAACTATATGATAAATTATGGTATTAAACCTTCGATCAAGATAATTGTATTGGCCCCGTTGTTCATTATCGAAAGCTAGAAATAAAAGCCTATTAGGTATAGACTCTTGTTTGATTGCGAGAGACTCTAACCAATTAATAAATTTTATATAACTTCCAGAACTAATAATGTGATTGTCAATATCAACAATCATTTTGGACTATGCCACTGAGTATTTAATTGCCGATAGAGTTAGATTTATTTCAGATACGTAATTTTTATGTTTTGACCCATAAATTGTATTAATCACAACTATTTTTTTGAAGAGCTTTTTTTTTAAAATAGCATTATTATCACTACTTTCATTATTACGAGTCAGAGCTTCAATAAAGTTAACGATAACAGGATTATGATTAGCCAACCAATTATTCAGCAAAAAATTTAATAAATTATTAAGAAAAAACCAATTTTTATTTAAAATTAATGAATTAATATTATTATAAATATTTTGGCGTTCTTTATTTGCTAGTCTTAATGTTTATATCTGGAAAGCTATACGCGACATTTTTCTTAATAGAGCTCGATCTTAATGAAGGAGTATGAGGCTGTAGTTAATGATAATGGAAGAAAAAGGAAGTTGAAAGACTATGAATCAATCCGAACTCCAAAAAATAATATAGCGGTATTCTTCATTGTGTTTTCATCTCATCATTCACAATAAAATAAATTCACACTTCCTTTTATTATTTAGGTCTTGAATGATAATGAAGGCGATGAACAAAAAGAATTTGCACCTTCAATTGAGAGTAATAAGAAAAGAAATTATGACGGGGACATTTTATCAGCTGGTGGCACGATGGTACGAATGCCCAATATTTCGATGGAAATCTTTTTTTTATTTTTTCTAAAGATCTATGAATTATAGGTATCTTCAGAAGATATCAATAATATTCTAGAAAATATTAAGGCTAATTATGAAGAAAAAGATGAGTTAACTGACAATGATGTTGAAAGAATGTACTACAGCTATTTCTTCCAACAACAATGAAGTAAATCATTTTTACATACAGAACACTTTCATTAAACAGTTTAGCAGAAGCGGACATCATCAATATAAGTTCGGATAACCCTCCAATAAATAGAGAACTTTTCAATAGATTAAAAGAAAAAGCGCATTCCCAACCTCCACCCCGCATCAAGATTGATGGACTTAAAAAGCGGATACAAGAAAACTATGCTGTAAAGAGAATAAATATATTTGTCTACCTTTTGTTTATTTTTGATTTAGTAATATTGTAATTTCCTATTTAGCGCAAGATAACCACCACGATATCAAATATTCGATCAGTAACAACCATTGAAAATTTTGATGCAAAACAGGTTGACTTTATAAAACGAATATTAGAAATCAAGCTTATGCAATTTCAAGCTGGGCAAGGCAAAAAACTCGACTTACTTATGGATGAGAATACATACACATCAACAATAGTATCTCCCGATTTTGAAATTCTAAAATTTTGTTTTCCGAAATTATTCATCAGCAGATGGTAAATCAAATAAAAGAACAAATATATAAACCTATATTGATTACTAGTCTAACTACACTTTTTTGGCAGGAATGAAAATGATGTTCCTTCATCTAAATGGCGTCGTGAAATAGTTTACCGCGATAGTAACGCCTCTGCACGTAAGGCAGATGGTATCCTTTTTAATTATGGAAATATCACTCAAGAATTTTTACTTTTTGAGAATATCGGCCCACCATTAAAGACCCAAAATCCCAAGTATAATAGTGATCTTTTAAAATGTTTTCGAAACTCTGTAGATTCGATTTGCAAAACTTTCTGGAATGGAAATGGAGACATAAAATTTGCAAAGAAATACTACGTATTAGCATATGTGTTGTATAGTAAGTTTTTAACTATCGTTTTCTGTTCTGTTGTTATACTGCTGGCTAAGATTTTATTAAAAATATAGAGGACAAAGGCGAATTATTTAGATTGAACTTGGATGCCCCTAAAACCTTTGTTGCTGAAAGGATATTAACAGTTAATTACCCTTTTGAGTATTCGACCTTTTCTTGCATTGTCAGTATTATCGATCTTCTTTTCACAGTTAAGGTAATATTTTTTTTCTTATAAGCTTTTAGTTAATTAAGGTATGACATATGGGGGGCCCCACAGCAAAAGGTGGCTTTGGGATGTTTTAAAATTTGATCTTTAAATAAATATATCTCTAGATCTAGAAATTGGAAACAAATAATTTTTAT